ACCTCTATTATCCAAAAAGCATAGCTCCCACACCATCAGAGGCACGACCGGGGGTGGGCCGCAGTTCACAGCTGCTATGTGCTGCTACTTAAGGTCTGGAGAAGTTCACATTGAGCTGGTGTCTTTCTCAAACACAGCCCAGCTGCTCACACCAAGACATCACCTAGAAAGATGCATTTGAAGGGAAGTTTGCATACAGCTTTTGTGTTTACAGAGAATTTGTATTAGAAACTGTTACCTGGAGAAGTGTCTACATACTTTGTGAAACTTGCTGTTGAACTGAGCTTTCAGCATTTCTCAGGTGAGGACCTAGGGAGCCAATTTTTCTAAGGAGCCAGCAGAGAAGAGGGAGCCTGCAACCAGACTGAAAAGTGCCCTCCCTTTAACCCGTAATCATTTTCTGTCCTGATATTCATGATCTTCCCACAGCAGGAACTACCACCAGTCCCCAGTCTACCTTGGAAGTAGGTTAGGCCAAACAGGAAGATCAACCTGAGCTGCAGATCATTTCTATCTACATAAAAATCCGACACAATACAGCCACCCTGTGCTGTCAGCTCGCCTCCCTGCTGAGTCTACCACACGAGGCTGACAAGCAGGACAAGACAGCTGGCTTCTCACTCGTTTCCCAAGCACTGACTGAGTACCTGTGATGCGACACGTCTGAATGAGTTCTGTGACGTTAGGTCACATGCCTAACCTTAGAAGACTCAGATTCTCTGGCTGCTTATACATTTCTCAGCTCATCGAATTTCCTCTCCAACCAAACAGGGTCACTGACTCAGGCATGCCTTGTTCCAACTACAGCTCCCTCTTGCTGCATCACTGTAGGCAGATTAATTAATCACCATTCATCTATAAAAAACAGAAGATACCACTTAGCCTATGATGCTGTTACAAAGATCAAGTAAGATAACCTTCAAAGACACCTGCTCGTGTGCTACCTGGACTGTCTCTGATACTCACTGACCTCCTCCTGGGCCTTCCATGGACAGCCCAGCTCTAGCAAGGGTGTCTGAACACTTCCCACACTGGACTAGAGGCTCTGTAAGGGTAACTGACAGATCTTTTGAAGGATTCTGGTAAATGCTGGAGCACTGAATGACTAATGAATAAAGAAGCCATAGTCTTACATTTGTTTGTCCTAGGATTACTTTGCATTAAAACCCAAAGGTGCATTCATTTTTCCTACAAATGACCCAAGTTTACAGTGTTTTTTTTCTTTTTTCTTTTTGAGAGGGGCTTCGCTATGCAGGTCAGGCTGGCCTTGAGCTCACTTTGTTGCCTAGGCTGGTCTTAAACTCACAATGATCCTCCTGCCTCAGTCTCCCAAGTGCTGGGATTACAGGCATGCGCCATCACGCCTGGCTAGTATCTCTCTTTATGGAGCAGTAGTATGCCATGCTGTGTAAATTTTCTTTACCCATTTTCTTTACCCATTCATCTGTTGATGGACATATGGGCTGCTCCCAAGATTTAGCTGTTATGAGTTGTGCTGCTATAAACATGGGCTTGCATGCATCACTGCAATGTGATGTCTTTCAAGAAGAGACTATAATGTTAAGTTAAATAAAGCAGACACATATGCTTAACTATCACATAGTTTCTTCTCTATGAAAAACCCAAAGCATAAGTAAAGAACAAAATAAAAGATGGATAATAAGACATGGGGAGACCTTTCTCAAAGGGAAAGGGGATCAACAGACGGAGGGGGGGCAAAGGGGAGGCAACGGGATGAAAGTGGAATCAGTGTGCTGTGCACACACACCAGCTCCACACAAGGAGTGCAAGCAGTGCGTGCTGCACACATGCACTGATAAAAAGCCTGAACGTCCTCCAAGAACGCGTTCTGGGGTTTCCGCAGTACCTCTGCCCTCTGCGGATAACCCAGGTGATCACAAAGCTCGCCCCTAACCCCAACATACTATCCACTGACTTACTGTAAGCCAGTTGTTAAAGTCGTCCCTGCTGACAAGTATGCGAAATGAATCAACCTGCTACACCTTAATGAAAGGAAAACCAATTTAGCTATGACAATGTAGCCAATGACAAGCACACTTCGAAGGAGTGCCAAGTGAGTCTGTGGTACACCAACAAATCTACTCTTGACTGTAGGATGTGTTTATATTTAGGGGTGCCACAGGGTAAAACTCAACAACAGTGGTTTGTGCCGGTTCTGCTTTTCTTTCCTTTTCATTCTTCTCTTGCAATAAACTTGGATGCATTGAACTATTTTTTAAAAACAACATCCTTGTACTGTCAATTAAAATACTTTATCAGAGAAAAAGTGTTACAGATAAGCAACCAAGCTGGAATGATACTTCTTTTTGCTTAGGCTTTTTCAATTTCTCCTGCCATGAGACAAATGGAAAATTCTCCAATAAAAAATTCTCAAATATTTGGCAGCCAAAATCATTTGAAACAATCAATCTCTGGGTAGATGGGTGGATATAGGAAAAATTCTCACATATGATACAGTGAGCAGATGAACTTCATAATGCAATGACGCGGAGAGCGAATCAGTATCACTTTCTGAACTGAGATACAGATCTAATGTAGGAAGCACTACCAGCTGCACACTAATGGTAATATGTTTTAAAAGGAAAGTCTGGCAATACTCAAAGAAAGAGCTGCAACGAATAGGTATCGAGACTCCACACATTAAGAACTACACACTAAACAGACATTTAAATGTGATCTGTGGCTCTAATTTTTGGAAGTACATTTTCTTCCATTTTTATTTATTAGTACATACTTGTAATACATAATGATCCTCTTCTAAGCACAAACCCAAGACAATTACCAGCCCTAAGATGTATATACACAAAGTTTGTCGATGAATTGGACAAAATCTTATTTAAAAATAAAATCTTAGAAAAATAAAACTTCAAAAGTCAGTGTCTTAGCAGTCACTCAGAGGAAGTCCAATCCCTTTATCTTACAAGGACACCGAATGACTTTTCTCATCTCCACATGTCTGACATCTTCTCTTAGATCCACTCTGCCTGCTCGAGGTCCCCTTGGTCCACAGAACCATTCCTATCCCTGTGGTGGTGGAGGCAGCGAGCTGCCTTTTGTTATGATGACATCTTGTCTCTTACCTTTAAAGGCTTTTATCCTTAGGCATTAAAATAAAACAGCCCCTGGCCGTTTGCAGCTCCATCCCCAGCCCGCAAGTCCAGAGCTGCTCAGTGAGCCACCACCAGGAAAGCAAAGAGCTGCAGTATTTGGGGAGGCTGAGCTAATAATCAGCAGCTTTCGGGCACCAGCTGGGGTCGCTGAGGGACTGGACACTGTGCGGAGGTCCTCCATTGTAGGTTTTGGAGGAATCTCCTACCCTTTCTTGAGAAAAAGAGAACGAGAGGGAGACTTGCAAACAGAAAAATTTTCCATCACTGTGGTCTTTCATATTCAGCCCTATCAGTAAAACAGAACTCTCCAGATGACTCCAATCAAGCAGCTCCACAAACCTGAGCACCTCACCATCTCCCTATACTTGCCTCCTCATATTTAAAATACAAGGGCTGACCCACTGATACCCTTTGTTGGGCTATCATCTCTTTTATGGTTCAGCTTTAATTATCAGGCAGATTAAACATAACCTGTCCATAAAGTCTCCCAAATGTAATATACACATAGCAGTTAATTAGTATAGGAACAAAATATCACAACACTGGACTTAAAAATGCTTTTAAGCCAAGGAGACATGAAAGACTCTGCTTTGTTGATCTTCCACACTCCAGGAATCCGGTGTCCTCTCTTGGTGTGGGGACAGTGGAGCAGCACAGAGCAGAGGGCTGTTGTGTGCGTGGGGGCTCCGTCTTCATCAATTCCCAATGTACAGCGCATCACTGGCGCCTAGTTATGGGATTTACAGATACAATCAAATGCGCACCCAACAGACAGAGGCTTTCAAGGATTTCCACAAAGTAATCTCAGACTGAAAATAATATCAATAATGCAGCCATAAGCAAATGATGAGAAACAAAAAGCCAGGACTAACATGCTTCATCTTAAATCAGTTCCTAGTCAGCATCACTATGAAATGAAATGAGTGTCCAACTGGATCTGAAACAACATCTTCCCCATCAAGATCTGCGTGAAGAACCAGAACCGTCCACTCCCTGAATCAGGGTGCTCTCCCTCAGAACGCAGCAGGCTATGGAGATCTGCTGCAACACGCTGAACAACAGGCCCCCTGGGACACACG